TGGCATTGTTGTTTCAGATGCACAACAGCAAAATTGACCTCCGAACAAGCCGCAATGCAAAAATCATGCTCGCTTCCGCTCACGTTAAACTGAGGAGGTGCTTCCCCCGAATCCCCTGCCCCACAGGGAACAAATGTAAAAACAGTTCTCTGCTGTCACACTATGCCAGCAGGATGTTGTTGTCTCACATTTCATTTTGGGATGTCAAAACTTTTAAAAGCAAAGTGTTTGGGAAGTGGTGCAGAAACAAAGTGCTCTAAGTAGGCTAAACAACACGTACATGATGCAATGGAATGCATCACTGTTGGCTGGCTGTTCAATTCGGATTGTAAATCGTGCCCACAGCATAATTAGCCTGTTTTCTGAAAAGGTTTTAAAAAATATTACACAGCTCTCAATGACCATAAGAAGAAACAAGAATTAGATCAGCGTCTGTAATTGACTCACATTGGCATCATTTGCAGTCTTCTGAATGCCATCCGAGTTTTGGTACTCATATTGTGGTGCATGATCCTGCTTCAGTTTTTATATCATTTCCCTACAACTTGACAAAGAAGACACTGAGTGCACATTTTCAAGATGCAACAGAAAGGCAGCAGACCTATCAGAGCGAAGAAGATGAAAATAAATTGGTCACTGAGGGAGCTAGAAGCCAGGAGACCATGGCCTTTCGCTTCCCCTCAGGAGCAGGTCTGCAGTCTCATGTTGTTTGCGTCACACCATCTGAAGTAGCAGGAGTGGTAGGAAGTAATATCCAAATGTCATGAGTCTCAAATCTGCTTATTTTTTTCAAGACAAATATAATGTACTGTGAAATGATACTGTAAAGTTTGCAACATGCAACTGCATATCGGGATCAAAAGATAAAATGATACGTCATGAGATGTATTCCTTATTTCTGCTTGTGGTCGCCATTTGTCATGAACCTTTTTTTGTTTTGTTTTTTTCAACAAAGACTTAAAGAGTGATGTTTAAAAAAACAGCAACACAGACCGGTATCAAAACAAGTGACAAGGGTGTGAAACAAAATACGATAAGAGCATCATGATCTTTCTTTGTGGGATGCATTTTTATGTTGAATGCAGGTTTGTGTGGAGAATGTGGAAACAAAAGGTGGACCCCTTTCAAGAAACAGGAGTAACCTGAAACAAAACATTCAACATGACAAGAAACAGCTTCAATACATGACCACAGAAACCACAATGAATCAAGACAAGATTGAACGAACCGAGGGAACTAAATACAAACAAAATTGACGAGACAATGAGGCACACCTGGTCAAGACACGAGTGATTGGAGGGGGCTGATTAGATGACAGGAGGAGGTTGTGCTGGGCTGACGAGAACAGGTGGCAACAAAAAAACCAAAACGAGCAGATGAGACATTCACAAGGGATACAGGAAAATGAGACAATATCATGAATTAAAATAAAGTGTATTTTTAGAAAAATGCAGTCCAGCATCGCTGATCATGACAAGGTCAGACAAATCACAACTGAGAGGAAATTTCATAGTGAGTGACATAACGAGATTTTGAATAAACCAGAAGATACGTGATACTGCAGGTGTAGAAAAAATGTGAAATATTTTGATGTCATGCATTTAACGGAGCTAAATGTCTCGTCATATAATGATGCCATGCAATCTATAACACTGAATGCTCCTATCCCCAATAATAAACATATGCCATGAATACATCTGATAGCTTGATTTAAATATGAACATTATTTATATCAATTTTGATAAGGCCGAATGTTTGGCTTTCATTAATGAATCTCATCTAGGAAAGTGGTCGGTAAGTAGCTTCATAACGTCAATTACATCAACATCATTTTAACTGCAGGTGGAAAGTGACTGATTGTGGTCAGTCTTGTTTAATTTCTTTCTCTCAGCCATCTGGGCTCGGTAATTGCTCATTGCAATCATTAAACATGGATTTCCAAGTAGGTATTTTCATTTTCCTGTAATGTATAATGTGATTGTTTTTTTTTAAGTAGTCTTTTTTTTTTAAAGGAATATGAAATAACAATTATCCAGCATATCCGCACAGTGTTGTGCAAGATGAACAAAATGTCAACAAGGACATACTGGCCATGTATTTTCACTGACTTCTGATTTCTTGTGCGTGGCCTGGAAGTCTGAAAGAACACACTTTTCTATTGTAATTATATTGAAATCCAAAGATTGATCATTTGAGTTTGTGGTCTTCAGCAGCGTCTTCCCTTCCACTGACTTCACATGAACTACAGCTACTGAAGTAGGAAGAATGTCAGGAGACTTAAACCAGTGGCCTGAGGTATCCCCGGATAAGGGAAATGGTCAGTCAAGTTGTGGCAGGGAATGGCCAAAAAAATAGTTTCTCTGTGTCTTCACCTCACTTCTCAAAAATGCACCCAGACTGGATTTAAAGCATCGGTGAGGTCTAACCAGTAATTCCCAGTTCTTGCACAACATCTGCAGACAATGCTGATCTTGGTCGATCAGACATTGTTATTGACAGGCTTTCACAGATTGCCTCAAGCAAACCAAAGCGAATCTCTCCTGGCTCCCGTTTAAAGAGAAACAATGTGATTTTTTTTCAACCATGTCATAGCATACGTGCCAAACAAAGTTCATGAGACAGCCGAGGCTAAATCGTGTTTTAGGATATCTTTATATATTTATACAGTGTGGCAGTCAGCGCTTGTAATGGGCGAGGCTGTGGAAAAATCACATTCATTGTGATGCCTTTTACAAAGTGACCGTGTGATGATGCATTTTAAATTCCGCTGGAGCGCTTGCATTTGTCAGCCTCGAGAATGAATTTTTCATAAGCTGCTTTTAAGGAATGAAATAAGAGTAGATCAATAAAGTCGGGCCACACCGACACAATAATTAGAAACACATCAACTGGCTTTCAAGCAGACATTTCGGATTTACTTTGAATAAAAGACCAGTCCGTTGCTTCAAATTGACTTAATGTGCAGTTCAGCCACTTACATTTCCAACAGTTTCGAAGGCCAGGTGGCATGAAGGGAAGGAAACATTGCTCATTTTCACGTACACATTTTATTTTGCATCATAGGATTGAAAATTGGCCCTGCTGTGGGTGAATGTGTATTCCTGAGGGCAAACCAGTCTGGCAGGTGAAGATTCCTTGGTTGGGAAGCCATTTCCAGAATTACCGATCCAAAAACGTATTGTTGTATCTTGGGCAAAAAAACAAAAAAATTATATATAGATATATATATATATATATATACCGTCGAAAAACGCCTTAATTAATTTATTTATTTTATTTTAACACAGCACATTACAAAACACGGACAGTATTCTAAAATATATTTTATTTTTTTTTAACAATCAGCATTTTAAGATGATGGTATGAATCCTGTGTTGATCAACTATTTTTGCGGTGATGCTAGCAATCCATGTAACCACAAATGAATCTTCATATGACTCGTGACATCAAAGTACTAGATGTTTGTTTTGGAAATTTAGACAAAATCGTACAAAAATTTTACTTTACTTTCAAATTGGAAAATTCTCCGGCATTCCTTTTGTAAAAATTCCTACAAAATCCGACAGTGGAACTTCAACTTTCCCAAGCAGTGCAGACCGGTATCCCATTGAAAATGTGGCACATTATGAAGCGCAAAATACGACAACAGAGACCGCGGACTGTTCAGCAACTTAAATTGTACATCAGGCAAGAATTGAAAAGCATTCCACCTACAAAGCTTCAACAATTAGTGTTCTCAGTTCCAAAAGAGTCAGTGAGTGATTTGAAAAGGAAAGATGATGTAAAACTGTGGTCAACATGCCCCTATGCCGGCTTTTTTGGAATGTGTCGCAGGCATCAAATTCAAAGAGAGTGGATACTGTATTTTGCAAAACAACAATAAACGTTTCGCCGTTTGAACATTTAATAGCTTGTCTTTGTCATGTTTTCAGTTGAATAGAGACTGAACGGGACTTGCAAATCATTGTATTCTGATTTTATTCATGTTTTACAGTCTCAACTTCTCCGGAATTGGGGTGTACTGTATACACATCAGTGTTTGGTCAATTTACACTAGAACCCGAGCGATTAAGCATTCGGACAATTTAATCAGCTGATATTTTAAAATTCGCTAAATTTTTCTTGTTTTTTTTTGGGGGGGGCAGATACGTGCGATTGTGTTTTTTTTTTTTTTTTTTTTTTAAACATACATGAACACCTACAACATAAGACAAAGACATTCAAACACCTCCCACCGCTTCCCCCAAAAATCTGTAAATTTTTTGCCAATCTTTCTCTCTGTTGTGAAGTTAAACTAACAAAGTCAAGTAAAAACATTTAAATGTTCTGCCTGTTTTTCATATTTTTATTTTTGTCAGCATTACGGGGCCCAAAAATAAATTATTTTATTCATATTATATATATATATATATATATATATATATATATATTTTTTTTTTTTTTAAAATTGGCCAAATAGGTGGTGATCGGATTTTTTTTTCTGCCAAATATCGGAATTGGGATAAATGTACAAAAAAAAGGCTATATTATCGTCAAGACTTAATTTACACTTGTGACTGTTGATTAAAAAATTATTAGATTATTTTACCCAATTAAGGCATTGCAAACAGAGCAAACGTTACTTTTTGTGCCATTCATAAAACGTTAATGATGAGCACGGATTTGTCTCTAGAACAAAGTCATCCAAACACTAATTTCAATGGGAAACATCTGGTTGCCGACATCGATGTCAGCCAGCAGAACCGAACAGATTGCCTTTGCTTTCGAAGGGCTCATTGTATTTAAAACAGATCTTTACTATTTACTGTATGGCGGCCATGAATTTTGAATATTGCACTGTTCGTATATCATTGTATGCAATTGAAAATGAATTACAAAAAGTAATAAATATATATACTGTATATGATATTAACATACTTTAGAGGAATAGGAGTGAAGTGACACATACGGTACCCATTTGCCTTGCTTTGGAGATCACGGGCAACGTGTCACTTTTTTTTTTTTTAAACCATAGAAGTGGAACTGTTTGCAAGGAGTCTTTGTTAGTATAATGCAGAATAAAAATCACAGCAAATAGTACATAACACAGTTTTCTTGGCTTACTACAACCACATTATCACCTGTGTTGCTCCCTTCTTAATTCTCAACAAACAGTTTGGGATGTTTGGGGAAACAACTGCAGCACAGCCCAGTAAATATTCCCAACATTATGATTCTTCTCTTCGGCTTTGCTGAGAATGGGGTTTGTGCTTGTTTTCACCAAAACGCTCTGTGCAAAGTATAACAATACATTAGCTTCAGCAAGATAAGCAAATGGTTTGAGCGCCAATGAAAAATGAGTCACTGTCATAAATAATAATTTCAAAAAAAAAAATCTTACAGTAGCTTGCATAGCAAAGCAAAAGACAAGTGTACAGATACAAAATATATTTACACATTATGCAAGTCCTTTGTTCAATTGATCTCGGCATTTTGTTGTGATTTTGCTTCTTCACTTGCTCTGTGTGGATTGTTGTACACCGAGTGATCTCTAAGAGCAGTGGCAATACAGTTGACTTAATAGGGGGGTATGAAGGGAACACTGTGAGACTGGTGTCTGTGTCCTGTACATGACATTTACAGCTCGGCATTTTCATTTGCATGTTCCTTTGACTTCATTCTGTCTCCTCTCCAGTGTCCGATCATCATTCCGATTCCCTCAGAGAGAGACGATCTCAGAGCACTTTGAAACAAGGCGTCCAGGGGCGTGTATCCAACGGACTCTGAAAAGGCAAGAAAACAGCACCATAATATAAAATAGCATGAAGATTGTTTTGTTTTTTTGCAAATGAATCTTCACCATACGGTAAAACGGTAACATTTATTATTTCTCGTCTGTAATTTCCAGGGCTACGATGGGAGTGCTGAAATAACTAAATAGATAGATAGATAGATAGATAGATAGATAGATAGATAGATAACATTTATTATTTCTGGTCTGTCATTTCCAGGGCTATGATGGGAGTGCTGAAATAAATAAATAGATAGATAGATAGATAATACAGCACAATGTAAAGGAGCCGATTAAACAGCATTGTATCATATGCTCTAGTAGTGGCTTGGGTGTGAAAAAGCCTTTTTTCTTAAACACACACACACACACACACACACACACTGATTAAACAGCATTGTATCATATCCTCTCGTAGTGGCTTGGGTGTGAAAAAGCCATTTTTTCTTAACACCAAAAAAAAAAAAAAAAAATAGTCTTCCAAAAATTGTTGACACTTACAGTGATCCCTTTTCTCTTTGCTGTTTGTGAGAAGATGCCCATTGTGGGATGTCTCTGCGGCAGGTCTCTTGTGGGAAGCCCGACTGAGCGTGGCCCTGTTGGATGTGGAGGTGTCACCCCAGGAACCCATATGTTGCCGCTCTAGCGTGGAGACGGTCACCATGCACTCCTCTGAAGGGTCTGAGGCTGCACTGGCCCATGAGCTGTTCATACGAGAACCGTTGCTATGAAAGCCCCTTACTTGAGGTGCAAGGGTTGCTGAGTGGATGGGAGATGAACACATTTTGGGAAACAACACCAATCAAAAGAATTAAATTTCATGGAAATGCATGGGCAGAGAAGATCACATCATTTCTTAGGCGCAATTAGAGCGCCTGAATATATTTGTTGGAACGTGAGACTATTCCAGTCCAATGCATCTCGGATACAATACTGGCTGAAGCCGAGAACGACTTATCTTACCTTCTTGATTGGTGTCCTTTCGTCTGGGCAGTGTTCCAACCTTGTTTGTCTGCGATTTGAGGCCAGTTAGCGGCGCCCTCTTGTGACCGAGGCTATGTGTGTTCTGCGCACCACGATCTGTAGTACCAGAACTGTCTGAACGACACAACTGTGCACCTTTACCTGCAAGGGAAAATTAACATGTGTTTTTACTTTTTATGAATGAGCAAATTTCAAATTGTTTAGACCAGTGGTTCTTAAACTGGATTCAATCGAACCCTAGGGGGTCGGTGAATCAGTCTCAGGGGTTCGACAGAACCTCTGCCATGGAGGATAATACCTCTTCGGTACCTCTAACAAGGTGAAGAACCACTGGTTTCGACATATGAATGAATGAATGAATCTTTATTGTCACCTCGCGTGCAGAAAAATACCGAGCAACGCATGTGACTTAACCGGGCACGACCCATCCAGGAAAGATGAAAAATAAGACACGAAAAGAGGAGGAGAGGACGGAAAGACCCGTCGTTACTCGTTTTTCAACAAGGAATGGGGGTTTCAACAAAGGGCGGTGGTGATAACAGGGTCGCGTAGGCGTGTGTTATTGTGAAAGTGTATGCCTGTCAGAGTGTCCCCAGCTGGTATGGCAAGCATATCATTTCACTATATATGCAAAACATGTCAGCTAGTTGTCATTAAATAAAACAAGGAGCGGGGGAACAAAACACGCTTAACCAAAATTCAAAGATCTATTACGGTCATTTTCATTGAGAATGGCCAATGTTGCTCAAATTGCAAATAAACAAACCCATACCGGCTTACATTTTTCAAAAATATGTACAGTATATGGAAATCCCCGTGCATGATGATATCGTCGACGGACATCCTGCCAACATTCTGGCTTTGTTCGTTTTGGTGACTTAGCAATACTGACAGGCGAACAAACAATAATTAATGTTTGCATTGGTAATATTCGTGATTATTTTTAGTCCCACTGATCTGCATTTTGCCCCACAATAGCATATTAAACAATAATAAAAAAACACATATTCAAGAAACTGTATGAGTCCTCCTATTACCCTATCAAACAATGCAGTTGGAAATGTTGTATTTTAATCCCTGTGGGAGACGCTGTCATGTTTCTCTCAAAAGAAAGGAATCCTATTTATAAATGCATCCTTTCTGAACCTTAAAACATGAAACTTTTCAGCAGAGCGCTTATATAGTGATATGGCTTCTGAAGTCTTTACTCAAATAACTTCAGAGGAATTCTAACAACCTGCCAGAATTTAACTTTCACAAACGTTTACGGTGACAGAAAGGAACTTCACTTGAATGTGAATCCATTCGAAGATGAATGTCGGTTTTATTTGAGGCCGTCACGTTTGTGATGCGATATGCCATTTTTTCTGTATCTGGCTGCATTGCATATTACATTTCATATTCTTGCAGCAATATGTCCACTTCATTACTATTTAACTACTTTTTTTGCATAATATTATTTGTTGGTAAGTTTGGTTGAATTTACGGTACTTTGTGACACAAGTGACACATTTACCTTCTTTTTTTTTTTTTTGGTCACCAAGTTTCTGATGTACTGAAAGTGATAGCAAAATCGACTTTCCGTGTCATGATCCGCACTTCGGTTTATCACCTCACTTTTCTAATTTGCAAATTAGTTTTGGTTTGTTCGCCTGCATCTGGTGTACCGTATTTTCCGGAGTATAAATCGCAGTTTTTTGCATCTTCTACCTCTGGAGTTGGCGAAACACTTCGGTTTCTCACCTCACTTTTCTAATTCGCGAATTCGTTTTGGTTTGTTCGCCTGCATCTGGTGTACCTTATTTTCCGGAGTATAAGTCGCAGTTTTTTTGCATCTTCTACCTCCGGAGTTGGCGAAGTTGTTTAAAAGTGACACCGAGCATGAAGATTTCATTGGATTTCGTGTTTTGGAGTGACGCTGATGGTTTGATAAATTTGTTAGCATGTTCTTTGTGCTATAGTTGTCTAAATAACTCTTAATATGTTACGTGAACATACCAGGCACATTCACAGTTCGTTGTTTAAGCGTCATGTAACGTTAGCATATCGTGCACTTATTCAGCCTGTCTAATTTTATTTTTATTTTAAATTGCCTTTCAAGATGACATGTATGGTTTTGGTGTTGGCTTTTATCAAATAAATTTCCCCCAAAAATGCGACTTATACTCCAGTGCGACTTATATAATGTTTTTTTCTTCTTAATTACGCATTTTTTGGCTGGTGCGATTTATAATCCGGAGTGATGTATAATCCGAAAAATACGGTACGCGCCTTTCCTGGATGCTCGACGTGGAATTTGTCAGCCTTGCTCCTTGTGTCAGTCAACCAGCCCTCTCGAATTTCACCTCTTGTCTAGATGTGATTCATTGTCTCGTTTGTCTGTATTTTGTTCCCTGTTTCTTTGCTTTCTGTTTATGGCCATGATCAAATCTTGCGTGTTGCTTTTGCCTGCGGGGATGAGGACTGATGGCCAGAGGAAGCATCATGAAACAATGAAGCTTTACAGCCCATTGCTTTACTAAATCGTTTATTGCTCGCAGCTTCATTCATCACTCACCATTTCATCACTCCTGTTTGAAAAACAATAAAACGCGAAATGATTTATTTTGGTTTTCCCATGCCATGCGAGGCTTGATTTGCCTTTTGTCATGTGTTTTTCAGCAAGTCGATAGAAGCATCGAGGTGGCAAACCACTTTCTACTTGGTACTCTCCTCAAAGCCTTGGCCTCAAATGTCCCATCATAAGCTGTTCTTCGTTCACCTTGTATCTTTTTTGTGGACTAGGCATTAGATTTACTTTTATTTTCTTTGCAATTCTCCCGCACTCATGCCTTTCGCCCGCATCCAAACCCAACAAAATCCCCCACGTGACAAGATGTCAATGCGACTGCCGAGTAAACTAACGGATTGGATCAACCCGGTTAATGTGAGCCTGACATAATTCAGAATACACCCCGAAACGTCTAACCAAACAAAAGAAATGTGATGTTGGCGCTGAATCCAAATTAGCTTGTTAGACCTGCAGTGTCAATTCAGTCTAAGTTGTTAGTGTGCCCTCTCGGTGTCAGCCTTGTCAAACATACCTGAGACCTCAAGGTTATCCATCGTGTGTCCAGGACTGTAATCAAAGCCACACAAATTCTTTGACACCATCGCATATCTTTCCTCCTCATCCTCAGAGAGGCGGGTGTCTCCCAAGTCTGAGCCCAGCGTTGAAGACATAAAGTCCATTGGAGGAATGGCAGTGCTGGACATGTTTGAATTGCTCTTCATCTGCCTGATACAGTGCACACATACAAAGGATTTTTTTTAATGATCAAAAGGCACTTATGAGTAACCTAACACACAGTTTAGGTAAAAAACTAAAACAAGCTGCGGGATGCAGATCCAGTGCGCAGCCGAAAAGTCTGCAGTCGCTTAACTGATTATATGCTTGGTGCTGGTGTGTGTTATGCAAACAATAGGGTTCTGAATGGAGTGGATAAAGGATATCTGGATGGTCAAAGGCTGTCACCAACATGGTAGTTATCTCTTTGACTGCATGACAGCACACATCCTGCCATCAAGGCAATGCATGCCTAATTACCGACTCTATTTACTGATGTCAGAATAGAGAGCTTCTCTTAACCCACAGATTGCAGTCCATGTATTTCCACCATTTCTATCAAGAAAGATAGAAGGATGCCCCTTTTAATAGGTTGATGCCCTTTGCAGACGATGGTCAACGGAAGTGGGGGCGCGGGGCCGCACGAAATATTGCTTTTGCTCTGGAGTATTGCCAGGCCAAAAACGTTTTGGTGCTTATTCGAGTTTTTCGATGCCCCCACCCCGATCACTCCTGTGGCAGCTATATGCTAAAAAATAGTAAACATGGCCTTAAGAAATGCCACCAATGTGGAAAACGTATTGCAGCAAATGACAAAATCAAGGATATCTATTGAATATGTTCCGTGCACTTCGTCCCAAATATAAAAATTGAAATTGAAGCCACGGTTGCTGTTTACCATGCTTGCTTGGCTACTTCATACTGGTAAGCTCTGGTCAGCTCATCCAAATGGGCCTGCAAAATAGACTGCATTTCCTCATGGTGGGCTGAGCTGAGAGATGATGATGAAGGCTGGTTGTAAGATGCTGCTGTTGCCGGCGAGGAAGCTCTTCCTCTGAGGGGTGGAGTAGGTCCCCTCTCTTCGTCAGCGTCATTGTCCAAACTCTGGTGGCGGTAGGACGGGAGCGAGAGAGGCGGCGCCCAACTGTTGTTGTCGTATCTGGTGAACAACAGTCACTATTTTATAATTATGTTCAATCTTCTCAGTTGGTTAAATAGTATGAATACTAGACAACACTATAACACACTCCCAGGTTTTATACATTAGGTACAATGCTCAATTTACTTCAGAAAAAAATCCACTTCCCAAAGATAATGTTTTTAAGGCCAATATAAGCAAGATATGGAATTCAATACCGGTATATTATTTTGGTTCTTGTGGTGTAGAATTGCACTTCAACTGAGAATGGATCTTAATAAATTAAATGAAAAATAAATGAAAGCAAGATTTGGAGTAAATCATTTTTTGCTTCACTACGACTTAATCAACAAATTTGATGTTTGCAGAAAATCCAAAACTATTTCAATGACCCGTTAAATTGCAGTATTCACCGACTAGCTATCTTAGCCACCACTCCAAAAATCAAGAAAACTGAAGTGTTGCAAATGTGCTTGCGCCTCAGCTCTACAATTCAGTCTTTGCAGATTTTCAGGAAAATCTTCAAAAATGTACACTGTATTTAGAAACTAATCTTTGGATGTACTTTACAGCATCTTAAAACTGTTTATTAATGCAGTTGGATCATGTAAAACTTTTACATTACGATTAATATTTTGGCAACTTATAATGCCTAATTGACGAGTGTGTATTAATTAAATTAATTGATGTTGGAATGACCAGTCCACAGGTGGAGGAAATCTGACCTCTCTTTCAATGTGAGTTTCAAAGTGTGCTTGTGATTTCATGTTCGCGTGTGAGTCAACTGATGAGATGTGAATGCATCTTACCCTCCTCTGTGGCTTTCCTGGGGGTAATGGTCAAGGTCAACCTCAGTACCAGGCAGAGGGTGCATAGGTGGTGGAGGCAGGGGCACATTGGCCCAACATGTCCCATTTGATTTAGGGGTCTTTGTTCCACCCTTCATCTTCTTTTTCTTCCCTACCTTTGCACCTGAGGGGTGGGGGAAACAAGAGATGAAAGTCTTTTGGGCGCCATGCTAACAAATCCCTGTATGCACTCATACGACTATTACAATCTCTTAGCCCCTTTCTACACGCACAGATACTGATCCTTGTAGTCTATATTTTTTTCCAACCACCATTTTTCTATTCATCAACTCTCTTTTTGCACGCTGATGGCATAGGATGACTTGAAAATGTTATGATATTTCTTAAATAGGCATCAAAACCTGAGGCGAACCTCTTCCATAAAGCTTCTTCTACCTTATCACTGGTTGTGACATTTAACTGAGCACAAAGCTTATTGTGAATAGTCAAAAGTACACACAGAAATGGCTCCATAATCTTACTGACTATGCGAACACAGTATGTATATATATATAGACATGCATATAGACATGCATAGCTCATGACGCTGATGCATTTATATGCGAACACAGTATGTATATATATAGACATGCATAGCTCATGACGCTGATGCATTTGCTCATCAAGTTAACCCAAAGAATTGCGTCATGATTGTCTGACATTTCTGGGCTAGATAAGCTCCCAGGGTAGAAGTCTGATGAAGACAGAAGAGTAATTAAGAGCATTATCCTAAGGGTTCATCTGCAGTGAATATGTAAATAAATTCGCTCTTTTCCATTTTGCATTCTCCGTAGCTCAGTTTGCCAACTCCCTTGCAGGAATTCCACCTCTAAAAAAAAAAACGAACCGTCACGCCATATTTTATCCCTGAGCATTTCTGTGTCCAATTCTCTCGAGCGCTCACACACAGAAACACAAATTTGTACCAGTGGCAGGGCGTCTATCAGTTAGCGAGTAGCCCAGGTTGGCCATTTCCTGTTGGGCCTGCAGAGAAGCCTTCCAGCGGGGATCCGGTCTGTCTACAGCCAACTCGTGGAAGCTGTTAGACTGGAGTATCTGAGTGGTGGCGTAGGGGGTGGGCTGGCTATCTTGCGCCGGGCTGCTGTAACCGCCCTTCCCCATGAAGTCAATACTGCTATAGATGGCCCCATCTGACAGCATGGTGCCCGTCTTCTCCACCGCTGCAGATGGCAATACATCTGCAACAAAGAAGAAAGGTGTTTGCAGAGATCATCCACAGATTAGATGACATGATCTTAACGAATCTTTAAGGTCATTAACGCTCCCTGCTGCTCTTGTTCTCCTCATCTGTTGAAAAAAAACAGCTCATAAATAGACTTGATCTGAATGGAAGTGATGGTCTGCAACCGTAATTAACATGCATCATGCTGAGGAAGCCCGGTGGAGTGTTCAGATGATGATGCTCAGCCCCGCAGCTGACCAGCTCTCCTGAGCTTGACGAACATGTAAACGCAGCATACATGTAAACCCCGATTAAACTCTCCAGCTCACCACACAGTTGCCGAGCACGAGAGAAAATGGGGGCAAAAAGAGGATGTAATAGCACAAATTGAATCCCAAATATCAGGCTTGTCAAATCACATTAGCAAAGTATAGCCCTCAAAGGCACTTTTAATTTCTCTGCGTGTTTGTTTTAATGTCAGGCCTTGTCACTGTGAATAACAAATGATGAACATCAAAACTGTCGGACCAGGCGATGCTCGCTGTAACTCCCATCAGCCAGCCATGTTTACCTCCTCGGCCAAAGTTACTGCTGCCTTTCGGACTCCCCAATGCTCCGTTGGCCGGAAGGCTCGTGGAGGGCCACGAATCCGCCAGCCAGGGTAGGCCAGGGTCACCCGCTTTCAACAGCCCTGGACGGCTGAGGGATGGATATTTATAGAGATGCAGAAAAGAAAAGGTATTAGCACATTAGAGGAATATTATTAAATGAATACCAGCATGCGTTTAATATGATTATTTTTCCTGCTGTGTTAAAAATAAAGTGATGTGAAAACCTATTGTGAATAGATTTTATCCCTTGAAAAAGCCTGAAGCACAAGCAAGAGTGCAAACAGCATGCGGGGCACAACATGGCAGGTCTATAGATCAGAATTCTGCCTCCCTTAAACTCCACAAGCCAAAACTCTCCCGGGAGAAACCAGGCAGGCCTGAATACACACTTAATCTGCTTTATAGCCTTAGCACAACAAAAATTTACATTTTAAATTGAGAATCATGGACCGCCTCTGGCAGCGCAACTACATGGCTGCGTTGTCTCCATGGCAACAGAGAAAGAAAAGAAGCATTTAGTGGTTTAGGAAATGTGGCGTTGATATTGTCGCTTTGAAATACAGTTGTAATGCAAACGTTTTTAGAGAAGAAAAGTAGTGAGCAGCAATTCAGGAAAGGAAAAGGTATCAGCATGTGGTATCAGCTGCAGTAAAAATGGCAAAGCGTTTGTATGCTTCATGCGTCCTGTTCGCATGTTTACTTAATGCGCTAACACACGCAGGGAATTTTCCACTGGGCCTGACTCGCCAAGCACCATGGGAATTGTTTACAGCCGACTTGGTGATAACTCAAAAGGTGTTAAACAATTATATCAATAATTTCCGTTGTAAAATACACAAGTCCATTTACATACATTGAAGAAGCACATGCCAGGGCTCCTGTAATGTTTGTGCGTGCGTGTGTGTGTGTGTGTGTGTGAAAGGTGTTAAACAATTATATCAATAATTTCCGTTGTAAAATACACAAGTCCATTTACATACATTGAAGAAGCACGTGCCAGGGCTCCTGTAATGTTTGTGCGGGTGTGTGTGTGTGTGTGTGTGTGTTTGTTAATCCTTTGTGGTATTTCTGTTCGTCTATAATTTGCAACATTTACCATGGCTAAGGAATTATCTGATTGTTTGGATGGCACAGCATTAATTGTTCTCTTTTATCTATTTCCTTTTTTTTTTTTTTTTGCTAAAATGATTTGCCTACTTTTTGGGAGAATTGAAACACTCATTAGGAGACCTCATTTCAGATTTTTAGCAAGAACATGATTCTAATTAAGATTGAGATTAAGACCCTTTCATTGTCATGACTGCATTTTTTACAGCCAACACATGCTGTGTTAATGCTCTTTTGCATTAAATCCAACAGAATTAATACAAATAACAAACACTGTTGGTGACAGACTGAAGAAGTTGACAAGCTTTTCCTTTCCCTGCCCTCCTTTTTTTTTTTAAAATGAACCCTGAGGGGAAGTCTTTGCTCATGGCTACCCCAAACATAAATGTTGACGCTCGTCTGGGGAATCAGACCAGCAATTTTCATTTTACAGGCCCTATCGTGAATATTAGACAGGTTTGAGTTCAGAACATTGTTCTTTCAAACTTTTCTGAACCTGTACAAAGTCAAGTCGGTTGACATTTTTTAAAGAGCACATTTATCACCTCTCCCCTCCTCTCATGACCTCTCCCTTCGCCCTTACATTAGCAGTGAAGAAGAACGGCAGCCTGCCTTTTTTAATTAATCGCATTCACAAGAAAAGAGTGATTAATGATCACAAAGTACACAGTACATCAGTGAAAATCATACACTGGCATGAGAAGGAAAGATTGGAAAGTCTAATCAAATTCTAATTCCGAACACAGGAACTGACTTCAGTGAAGGCATTAAAATGATTACTCATCATTGAGATGGTAGATTGAGACTGAAAGTCATTCTAGAAAGTCAAAACAACTCTTACCTTCCATTTCTGATTAGACCTCTGTCTCTTTGGAATGTCACTTAGAGTAAAAGAGAGAAAAATACAAGTAAGTTTGACATTGGCATCAACAAAATGGTACCGTATGGCGGCCATTTTGAAAAAGAGGTCAGAAGCTAAATTGTTGAGACAATTACCAATAATTGGAAAAGCATACCTGCTCGGGTGAACGTGAACGATTGAACTGCAATGACAAAATAAGAGGAATCCATATTAAAATGGGAAAACATGTTTAAATCATACATAAGTGTAAAACGAACTGAAAAATGCAATTACCTGTTCGTTTAAAAACATACAGGGAGTGATTAGCATCAGTGGCTATTACGGACATAGCCTACAGCATTGCTGAAAAACATCATTTTTGTTGCTCTACGATGAGGTTTTTAATTTAGTTCGACAAAAGGGATCAGAGATGCAGCAATCAATCATGTAAATCCCTCTTAAACCAGAAAAACAACTCACTGGAATACAAATTAGGATAATGGACATGCAGCCCAAAGCTCTCCAAAATTGCTAAAAATGTATATTTCATCCTTAAATCTGGATGCGCTTCATGTTAATGTGCCAACAACACTGCCGAAGGTCTGATAATGGGAGGTGATGTTAAATTACTTATCTCACATGAATGTATGACAGCGCTGAAGCACACGGCCGATGGAGCGTGGCACATTTGACGCACACCAATGCACAGTGGCTAAAAGTAAATACAGCCTTATTTACACCAGTGTTGAATATATTAATAGCGTTCTACCTTTTAGCCAGCTCAAATGGAGTCAAATCTGTGATGACATCAAGTCTCATTGGGGCGAGAGACCAAATGAGCTTTGAGATTCTGTATTGATGCAGAACCATGTAAATTGATTTTTTTTTACCTGCATAGTTGCTGAGTCCCTTCCTCTTTTTTCTCCTCCAGTACAGCCAGGCACTGAAGCCCATGAGAACAATCCAACAGGCTCCGCCCAAACCCGCGATGAAGGCCGGCTGTTTCACCACATCTGAGATGCTATTGTTGCCCTCCGATCCCGTCATTACATCCCTCTGTTCTGCACCTGGGCACCCCCCAATGCACAAATACCGGCACAAGGAAAGCAAACGTATTTAAAAACTGTACAAGTTGATGAAAACATACAAATAAAATGGTAACATGGGAAGTGGACCTTGTGAATTGTGTATTAAATCATTGGAAAGATAGATGTATTATTCATGTGGTTGCAGTTGGGGGCATTTCAATTCTTTTTACCTTACCATGACGCGAAATCAACAAAATAAAAAATATATATTTTATTTCTATTTTGGATTTTATTGGATTTTGTAGCTGATCTCGATGGAGTAAGCACATGATTACGAAGTGTCAAAACAACTAAGAAAAAAAAAACAAACTCAGAGCCTTGGAAAACAAAAGATCTATCATAACAAAATGAAAATAAATAACTACAAAGTAAAATAAACAGCATCAGTGCATCCAATATACAGGCAGGGTTAATCAATTCAGCAGTGCACTTATCAAGTTGAGCCTAAAAGACACGAGATTGACAGAGCAGCTCTGACAGAGTTTGATTTTCTGTTGCAGCTACTGTGCTGTGAAATTAGATTCACAGTCTCCGGCAGGAACCCCCAATCTTAACACACACACACACACACACACACACACACACATACACACACACACACACACACACACACATCATTAAGCTGCAGCCCACAGGCCTGTGTTTCCCTTTCCCTGTCTGTTAAGGCTGTTATTATTTATCAGTCAAAAGTCATAGATGAGGAGCATCTGTCCTGGGCTCCAATATTGACTCTGGACTTATATACTCCGACCATCCTTTTGCTATTTTATAAGAAGTGATAGGCTGATAAGCTCCAGCAAAAAAAAAAAAAAAAAAAAAAAAAAAATCACTCTACTTTGTTAGTGACTGCAGCCCATATATTGAAGTGGATTATTGATATAGCTAACAGTACTTGGCAGTGTTACCAAACGCCCCATGTAATGAACCACTATTGATTTTTCAGTCGATGCCTCCAGTGTAAAGTGCAATCTTCTTTCTGCTGGGTGCTAAATTGATAAATTATTTTCTCAGACCCCAAAACTGTGATGGACACCTTGGTCTTCCCATTATGAGGTCATTTTATCCTGACTTCAGTTTTGTGCACGTGTGTGTGTGCGCGAGTGGATTACCCAAGGTGATGAGCTGGGGTGCGCTATTGACCCCCACCCCCGCGCTGGTGCTTGCAGCTACCTCCACGCGGTACTGCACCCCGGCCTGCAGACCCCCGACGACCACTGAACGGATGGTTGCATCCACAGACTTATTGACATGAAACTGGGTTTCGTTAGCCAAACACCAGATCTGACAAAGCCAAACAGGTTGACAGAATCCATTTTCAGATTTCATAGTACAGTATATGCAACGGGATAGTGAGGACACGGGTCTGACTCTACCTTGTATTCCTGGATGATGCCGTTTTGTTGGTCAGAGGGTGGAGGGTCCCATGACACGCTGATGGAGGTGCTATTATTGCTTCCTACCGTCAACACTGTCACTTGCTGTGGGGGTGCACTGGGTGCTGATGGGTCAAATGGAAAATAAAACGCATGGAAAATAAATACAAATGGTCATTGCACTTTATCTTTTTACCCATGCAACGCCTTGCAAGGAAAATTCAAATTAATTTTTACATGTAACTATCTGGCCTGTTGCCCCACATGGGCGGATCGGAGATATAATGAGGCTGAGGCTAGCGGGGCCCCAACACTCTAATCTATGCAATTTTAACACATTATCTTCTCAGAATGGACTACTAAACAGCTTGGGGCCCACGGTTTCCATTAAACCTTTTGTAACGCTCCAAACTGGTGGGCAGAATTATTAGCTGGAACCCAATTAAAAAGATACAATATAAGAATGCTATCTTTCGGCAAAGCATTGACATGTCCAACATTGCAGAGATGTGCAGAGTAGGTGGGCCATGATGTGATCGTATTGTCCGCCACCTGGCTGCACGGCAAAATGCTCACTGTGACTTGACATTTTCGGAATGGTTTCATTTTATAAGAGGGAAGAGTGAAAGTCACAAACAAGCACTATTTCTGGCAGAGATATAGCCAATGGTTGGACCACCAGTCTGTCTGTCAATTAATAAATATTCACTCATGCTCAATGCTAGCTATATCAACATTCAAACATTCAATCAGTAACACATCACCAATGTGCATGTTCTTTAAAACATTGTCAGCCTGTAAATAAATACTTCAATCTAAATGATGCACAGCACAGTGCATCCCAGTCAAATGGTACCCATTGTGCCACAAGAACAAAATGTGCTAAAGCTGCTTAATTTGCTGCTTTGCAGGATGCAATCTGGTAAACATAGCTTGCTCCGCTAATGAGCGCATCGCGTACGATACTTGAGACATGAATGAGCAAACGCCCCCACCCCCACATGTGGCATTTGTGACGTTAATGATCATGCATCACATTCTCTCCTTCCTGAGCTGCCGACATCAGCCATGTGGCTGTAACAAACTCTAATTTTAACTGTGACTTTGGATTTAGAGTTCAGCACTTCACCATGTGCTTGCTCTGTTAGTCCTCAGAGACCCCCGTGCAAGGTTCCTCAAATGCAGCATCCTTTTGAATATCTGCCTGTGGCAGATAATGTGTTTTATCCTTACGATTTCTGCTGTGCAATCCGTTTCTGGCTCTAGTCTAATGGACATTTTTTTGCTGTTCCCCAATACCTTTTCCAGGATCCCGAGAAAGTAAAATTGCTACTTCAGTCGGAAAAATCCTCCAGTAATCCCGTGTGGCCATTTTAATTGGGCTCCAGTGAGGTAAGGTTCTCTTCTTTTTTTTTGCAGACGCGCATGTTCACAATCCCAGATAGACCCTCTCATGTGTTGCCATGAAACAGAAATTCTGCAAGTTGGAGATTTCTTTCACATGACTGGCCTTATCTTGACTAGCTCTTCAGCGCGAGCTGGACTTGTGCCTGGTTCGGCTGATGCAGCACCTGGCCAGGTTGCAATTACATTTGGGGACACACTCCCTATCATCACACCCGCCAGAAGTCTGTAAATCTGCCAACAGATTTGTCCACTGGAAATAACACCACTTCTTATTGAATCCACCGTCAACGGGCAAAAATGATTTTGAGTCGAAACAAATGCGACTAAATGCACCTATTTCTTCTAATAGCCTGTTTAGAGCACAGTTATCATATATACTGATGTTTTTACATGGTGGGAGGGGGGGGATTTATGATTGGATTCTTGCCCAAGGATTGTCAGCTATCATTTTCCAGCATCAGGTCACCATTAATCCTAACAACCTGAGCTAAATCTGTTTGCTGATTAAGAGGAGCAGAAGACTGATAGAGCTTGCGGGTCGACCTTGGGCTTAGATTGAACAAAAAAACTGCAGCAAACTTAAAGTATATATTTGTCTATGTGTGTGTGTGTGTGTGTGTGTGTGTGTGTGTGTGTGTGTGTGTGTGTGTGTGTGTGTGTGTGTGTTCGAGAAAAGGTTGAGTCATGTCAAGCAGTCTAAATGATGTTTCTGGGCAGACATATTGCCTCCGGGGTCCAAAAAGAGGCAACTAAAGATTTAAGGCAATGTCAATACTGTATCTTTCATTTAGACCATTTACACAGAAATCATGTTCATACACGTACATTACGAAGACTACATTACATGAAGAAACGTCCTATTGTCAAAATTATTTACCTTCTTCCATAGTCCGTGCCGTCATGGATTCACTGTCTGCGCCCTGAAACTCATTAAAGTATGGTCGCACTTTAATCTCATAGACAATTCCTTTCTTCAGGCCCAAGAGAGTCATGTCCCTCTGTGAGGAGACTTTTAAGTCCTCGATCTGCCATGGTCCCGGAGAAGGCAGCCCGGATGTCTGCCGGTACAGAACACGGTAGCCTTGAATAAATCGGGATGGATTGTCCACCTGAGAGAAGAGAACAATATGATGTTGAAAGGGGAGATCGTACAGTATTACAGTATGACTGTAGCAGTCAGTTCGTGTACTTGTTGCACTTGCTTCATTTGACATAGGATTCAAGAAGCGATTGTTGTCAGAAAGTTGCGAATGGCGAAAAACAATGTATCTGAGTCATTTTTATTCGTGGAGGCAGAATGAAGAAAATACTTCACAGTACTTGTTTGCAAACTGAAAACACTGTTCTGATGAATTGTATCCTAACCATGAGTACTTACAGTCCACGTGACTTGCACTGAAGTGGAGCTGAGAACGACGGGGTTATGCATGCTGACCACCACGTCCCCCAACTCCTTCTGTACGTGTCGATGGTCCACTCCCTGCGCAGTGGGACTAATGTCTAAAACAGAAAATATCACCAAGTAATTCGAATTAAACTGTGATGCTCATCTCGAAGGTTCCGGGACTCTTTTCTCGTGTTGTCTTTCTCGGTACCTTGTGTCCGCACGGGCTCAGACATGGGGCTCGGGTCTCCTAGCCCTTGACCACTGACTGCCCTGATAATGAACAGGTAGACAGTATTGGGCCGTAGGTCATTGACGGTGAACTCGGTGGTCTTCACATGGTCTGCCACAGTCTGCCAGCTGTTACTTACTGACTGACTGTTTGAAAAGCAAGGATATTTTCCATTAGCTGGAGGCATTTTTTTTTTGTGTGTGTTATTATTCCAGGCAGAAGATTGAATCAGACACCAAAAGGCAGGTAAACCAAACAAAAACAAATTGTGGGGTAAAAAAAAGATCCTGTCAAATAAAAAGACTGAAATCGTTCAAGCGTGTTCCTTTCCTCATCACAGGGTAAACTCTGCAATCAAGATGAAACGACTTTATAGTATTCTTGACTGGAATTTAAATAAATACTTGTCACATACTGATTGAAGTGATCCTTAAATGTCAGAAAAAGACCATTCAAACTGAAATCCTGCAAGTAAATATCAATTTTGTTGAATACTTTAATGTTAGCTGCTTGGAATATTTATTTTGTTTGCTCTTCAACAAAACTGCCTCCCATCTGCTTTTTTTTGGGGTCACTAAACATGGCTTCAGGCCATGGGTCACAGACGTACCCAAAGGCCTCAATGACATAGGAGGACACCGGGGAGCCAGCCTCTGGCCCCAGTTCCCATGACAACGAGATGCTGCTCTTGGTCACATCAGTGACCTCTGGCTTGGAGGGCGGCCCCGGTAGGGCTGTCAGGTTGTTAGACAGGAAGTCAATGGGGTCAGTGGAATCTGACAAAGAAAAAAGAAAAAAAAAAACTTTCATATTAATACCATCAAAAATAAAATGCAAATGAAGTAAAGTTACATAGCAACTGTTCCAGAGGAGTAGAATTTACCGCTGCGTACCTGTGATATCTAAGTAAGCACTCCATGATGTTTCTCCACTGGAGCTGGAGGCCACGCACGTGTATAAGCCAGAATCAGACAGCTGAAAAGGAAATTTGAATTATGAAAAACAGTCTGAAAAAAATACTATAACATTATCTCCAGGTATATAATAACATTTATTTATAACATTCTAGGTATACATACAACCAAGGGATGGGTGAGAAAATACATTTACGCATCTGGTACTACATTTGTCTCATGGCAGTCATTTTTAATGACATATTGCACGAAAAAAATACAACAATAAAACATGGGCGGCATTGACTTGTGTGGTAGAGATAACAGTTTCAAGCAATATTAGTTTTACGGATGTATTCTTTGCTCCTTCAGACCGCAAAAAAAAAACATGGCTTTCTGATGTGCTCCGGTGGCGCGAGCGTGAATTCAATCGTCTTTGCAACTATGATCCCAGATGGTTGCGACAAGCTCTTGCATCAGTCCGGGCGTATGAAGGAGGTCTGCAGCTAGTCGTACAGGAAAAAGGCATTAACCTTCACTGGCCCTGCATTTGGCTCGAGACAAGCTTGAGAGTGGATGAAAGAAAACCTTAAAGCCGTCCAATGGAAAAAAAAAAAAAAGGAAGAGCCCAGTAAAAGCTGACATTAATTTCCTTAATTGATTTCGTCCAATAATAGTCGTCCTCCATTCCCAGAACCATCAACATTATCATCAGGAGTGCTGACACGGGAAATACTGAAGCAGTGATATGATCATCTTGTTCATATTGGCAAAGCCTCTGGGAGCACAGGCAGTCGGGCTCTCTCTCAAGAGATAGTGGAGGTGAGCGACATAGGCAGAGCACTTTGACACAGAGGCGGGACCCTGCATATTTAAGCCCCTCCATTATATTCGCCCCATTCGATTGCCTTTAACAGTCCCTGTCCTCGAGTCCTTGAATCAGACCGGTGCCAGAGGAATTCCAGTCTTCTCTGACTTCTGCTCATATATTCTCCATCATCATTTTTAAATGGCGCCGTTGTTCATTTAGTTTTCTCCATCAACAGTCATCACATATGGTCCAAAAATCAAAAGTCCATCAACATCCAGATTGTGAGTGTACATTTCTAAGTGATGAAATGTTTAACAGGATGCGCATTTTTTTCAGCGATGCGCATGTAAATAAATCTTACAAAAGCTCGACTTGATAACGCCGGGAACCACTTTGATTTGTGATAAAGCGCTTTGTTTTCTTAATTATTCTTTCATCTCTCGAGAGATCATAAAAATGAGATTTCACAGACATAGCTACAGTATACGTACACAGTTTAAATCTGGTGTTGAGAAAATGAATGGGTTCTATTGCTTTGTTGAAAAACATTTGAGGTATAAAGTAATATATAATGTAGCCATTATCGTGTTTAGGAGGCTGTATGGTGTCATGTGCCTGTAACAAACTGAATCTATGGTTCAATTCGACTGCATCACTTTGGAGTAAATTAAGAGTCAATTGAGACATACTTTGTACTGTAAATTCAATTCAAATGTAAGTGTTACTTCTTCCGAGTGAAATTATTGGAAACGGCTCTTGGCGTGATGCAGAATCGTTTTTATGTCTGCGCAACCACAACAACAAACACATTGTTAAATGATTTCCTCTGACAGTGTCAATCAAAACTTGAGCAATATTAACTTTATAAAACCCGGCTGGTTGATATATTCAATTGGATCTGACTTGTGCTTCTGGGCATACTCTTGTGAGAGGTTCTTTGTGTAATAACTCAGAGTTGACTCAATTACAGAAGAAATATAAATCATGTTTAAATAATGAGGACAAATGAATCACCGCTACTCACCTTGGCACTTTGTATTTGAAGGCTGCCATGTTCCAGCAGGGAAAACCGAGAGTCTTTTCCTAGCAGACCGATCCCGTTCTTTCGCCAGGTAATTGTGGGTTGTGGGTCTCCTGAAGCCTGACACCTGAGCGTTGTCACGCTCCCTAATGCCTGTGTTTGGTTGTAGGGGCCCTGACGGATGATCGGCGGTGGGCGGTCCTTCAGGGCTGAGGATAATCATGAAGGAATAGATAATTGGAACCTTTCTTGAACTATAATTTTGAAGGCTTCGTCTTGGCATCAGCTGGTGACTTGCCATTGGCCCTTTAAAATGTTGCTTTTTTTTTTTTTTTGCATGACCTTATCAGAAGGTGCTAAGTAGTGATTACAATAATTGCAGTCCCAATATGTTAAAACTCAAACTGACGGATTGGTTGGAAGTGGAAGCGACTGTTTTCCAGAGTGGAACAGTGTGCTCATGGCACAGCATCGCACCGTTCAGTTTTAATTCCTAGGTGAGGATTAATGATGCTTAACCCGTGGTGTTAATTACCAACTTTCAACACATCCCCGTGCTTGTCGGTTGCATTCTACAATGACGCTTCCAACTTCCTGGCCCTTTTCTCCGTTGCACCGCAACATATTAAACCCGTAAATTAGCATGCCAAGGGGGACAACAATGCATCGCTTTAAAAGCTTTTTAAAGTGTGTTATATCATCCAGAAAACAGCTTCTGCACGGTGCAACAGTCATTTCTGGAGTGTTGGCGCTCTTTCCAGGCCTTGTAACAACTCCCCGGGCTGCTTTCAACTGTTATCAGGTCTGTCTCCATATTCACAAATGCTTACAACAGGTTCCCTTTGCCGTTTTTTTTTTTTTTTTTCTCACAATGACTGTAAAATAAGGAGAACAAAATTATAAGCAGAGCAGCAGTACCGTATGCACGCTCTGATCTGCTATTGTTATTGTTTCAGACCATTTTAAACGAAGTATATATTTGGCGATAATGGAAGGACATCATGATAAATGGTTTCAGATTGAATACTGCACCGACCCGTCACACACATGACTACAATTGATTAACTCCTCTATTCAAGCACTTCCTAATCAATACACGTATTACTGCTTAACTCTGCATTGTGGATGAACTGTTTGAGGGATTAAATATGGTGAATACATTGAAAAATGATGCAAATATAGAGAGACAAATACCCGTAGTTGGCTGTTCTAATTTGGGATTTTGTACATTGACATTACAATTTCCGGGAGCGCTGAGTGACGGTGAATCGTGTGCAGTGCACACATGGGCACATGGAGACCAGGCACAGCCTCGCAATGAAACCACGCTAAACTTTTAACTTAGAATTTCTAATGGGGAAATAAAACAGCTAACCGGTAACATTTAGTGTACCTTTCCATTACGAATAACAGAGATAGCATCCGTTGCTAACTCTTGTTCACAGTCCATGTTGTGAGGAAAGTAGCGTTGATCCGAAACAGTATCAGTTAAGGTGAGGCGACATTCGCTTCATTTGAGCAATTTTAAAATTGCAAACTTCTCCTTCAACATAAATGGATCTCTTAATACTTGTAACACTGCAAAGCCAATTGTCTTCAAAGGCTTTCAGCTGCATTTTTTTTTCAGGTGGTGGAGCTACGAAGATGCTTTCGTCAAGCTCATTATTGATGAATGAAGATGTTGAAGTTTGTACAGTAAAAGCTGGGGAACAAATCTACCTAGCAACAAACATGACTCCAAGTACATGAATGGGAGATTTGATTTGTGTGCCAAATGTAGCAAAAACAAATTATCGTAGAATAATTCAAATATATTCGTTATATTCTGTAAAGCCTGTTCATCACAAACGTATCAAATGCTATATTTGAGACAAATGGAGTGCATCAATGGATTGTTCTAAGACTGAAAACATTTCCCAAACATCATCGGACAGCACTCGATGCTCTGTTAGTCTACATTGAAATCACCCCTGCACGCTTCAGTCTGTCTGTCTCCATAAGCATTAAAAGACACAAATGCCGAGAAGGGCGTCGACGGCACCGGGAAGGAAGCAGTTTCGCACTAAATGCTGACATTTAAGATTTGTCCAAAAAGCCAAAACGCGTCTGTTGCAGCAAGAGAGAGAGAGATCGTTTTATTTTCTTTCATTTCAATATCTGGAGGCTTGGCCAAGCGTCTTCTTTTTTAGGAATCAAAATATGCTCACACTATTCTGTGCTGTTGTCTGTATTGTTTTGTTTGTAGATCTTGGTAAAAATAAAGAAATAAGTCATCTAAGATATCTAAAATAAATTATTTAAAGGAGGCAATCAATGTATTGTTGGGAGGAAATGCAAAATGCCAATGCTTTGTTCTGTGTATTGTGTTCATTAACTTTGATGTGTTAGATGAAGTGGGTGTGCATGCTTTGGTCTCCTTACTTACCGTCTGCCACCTCCAGCTGGGCTTTGGCCAAGATGCTGCCTGCTACAGTGAGGGCCTGGCAGATATAATAGCCTGCGTCTGAACGCTGCACTGATGAAATGGTCAATTCTCCATTCACAGACACAGACACACGACTGTCGCCTTGTGTTGGCTGGCTGGGAAACAGAAGATCCTACGGGGGGTGAAGTTGGAAAGTAAAACTCTGAAATAAAGGTACGTCGTTACGGGTCTGTGAAATGTGCATGTGCATCATTATACAAAAAAAATAAATAAATAAATATATATATATATATATATATAAATATATATTTGCAATACAATCATGACACGTCAAGCTGGGGGTCACATTCATGATGTCCTTTGGAAATAGTCATGCACCCTTTCTTATAAGAAATTTGTAAAAATGTAAAAAAAAAAAAATGTAATCAAATTTTTAGGAACAAATTGGCCAAGTTTTGTTCTCAATGGAGAGCTGAGTTCATTTTTTTAACTCACCACATCCCATTCTGATTACCTCCGGACCTGTTTTAACTTGTTAAAAATTTTGCTTTATTCAAGAAGTCATTTAAGGTCAAGTACAAAGGGATTCTCAAGAATTTACATTCCCCAAAATGATGCACCGTCATTGAGCAAATCATCTAAATCCCTCTCTTCTGACGGACCAGAATGTCCTTCACAGTGTTTCTGCTGCACTTAGGATAGTTGAGGCATCAGCTTTGTCCGTTTCTGCACCCCAAGCAGACAAGCTGGCAGGAAAGGACATTAGCCTGCTTTCATTACTTCTAATGACACTAATGTGAGCCGGCTGGTCAGAACAGCATCCACTGATGATGAATGACCACTTCATTATCTGTGTGAGCCACAAAAACCACTCACAATGTCACCCTGCTTTGATCAGTTAAAGATTTTAATTTTATTCATTTCTTTGTTAAATACAATATCCGCCCCTCTGCAATATTGATGTCTTTCTTAGCATGATACCAACAATATATCACCCATCACGAGCTGCATGCACATGACAGAAAACACTGTGCCAAAATCTCACCTGGCTGCCATCCCGTTGCCAGAACACGGTGGGTTGAGGTTTGCCTCTGGTCTCACAGGGAAAGGTCGCCGTTCGTCCTTGAGCCACAATTTGGTCACGGGGTCGCACCACAAACTGGGGCGCCTCTGAATATTACAGTAGCATGCAGTACAGTAGCTTATTTCCAGTCATTTTCGCATCACATGTCTAGCTGGTCATGCACAAGGGGTATTCTTCGAACTAGCTAATCACACAAGCCGTCTTCCAGAATATCGGATACTATCAGGGTGCCTCACTCGTCAAAGTCAAAATGTTGACAAGGCCGAAAGTGACACAGTACATCCATGGATTCTCAGTGGCTCCTAACTGGGAAAGTCAGTGATTGAGAGACAAGGCACATGTGCCAGTGAAAATATCATTTTGATGAAGGTCGTTTATGGATCCTCAGAGCCGTGCTCAAAACGTGACTTAAAAATAAATTAAAAAATAAAACCAAACGGGGGTAAAAAAAAAAACACATGCACAGTGGCCGTTACAGCTGTTACTTACCAACGGGGCGAACTGGTGACAACAATGGTGGGGGTGAGATTAAGTCACAACACAGAGAGAACGAAAGCAGAGGAGTAGAGGGAAAGAAAGCCAAATAATGAAAATCAGAAATGAATGAGATGGCGTTGGGTTTGCATCCATGGTGTTTGTGTAGGCACCGATGGCTCTCAATCACCATGTTAGGTCGAAGGACAAGAACCAATAGCTGTTATTACCGGTAACTACCATGCTGTGCCGCGTTAGGTCGAAGGACAAGAACCAATGCCATGAACCAATTCCTAACAGGACATTACTAATTACTTTTGAGGCACAAAGGCTAGTCGCCGTCCTGTTAAACTGAAAGGTGCTAATTTTTAAGCCTTAACTCTTACTGTTGAAGTGGGTTGCATACGTTAAGAAACTATAGCTGTTATTACCGGTAACTACCATGCTGTGCCGATTTCCCTCTCAATATCATCTAGAACATTGCATCCATGTCAATAAAAAAAAAAAAAAATAAATAACCCAAATGGATGAAATGACTCTTCAAGGCAATGACATAGATTGGCGAGTCAGTGAATAAAAATATGGAGAGAGCGGGCTTCATGAAAACACTTCAATTAAAACCGCTTATCACGGAGAGCGTTCATACGCAATCCGTGGTCTGAAATGTAAAGCTATCAAGCGCATTGTTCCGTTATGTGAAAACAAAGCTTGAGGCAAGGCTCAACCTTTCATCAGGGGGGCAATAACACTGGTAAAATGTGCAATAAAGGAGTGATTGTTGTGTGAGTTGGGAGTTACAATAAAATAGGGAACTGAAGAGAGCGCAAGCTACCCACCTCTGATAGTCAAGTAAGCGGAAGCCTCCACTTTGCCCACGCGGTTCTCGGCGAGGCAGGTGAAGGTCCCCTGATCGCTCACGGCGGCTTTCTTTATCCTCAACAAAAGATCCTCTTTTTCATATCTGATGTCATACCTGGCGACAGAGGGGTGACTAACACTGTGAAGCCTCAATTTAAAATTACATTTAAAATGAAACCTCCTATAAGAAGTGTGACTACTGTACATAGTCTTCAAAATGTGGACAATTTAAAAACACAACATTATAAATTGTGAGACACGTATGATAGTAAAAGTCAAGTCAATCAGGAAAGATTTGACAACATCTTTTTTTCTCCTGCAAAGATTGTTCCTGGAATTTTAAGGGATACTTTGATACCCCCCATGAGTGGTGGATGAATTTGACCAAACTCATCATCCCATCATCGCTGGATGAATAATTTCCGTCCTAACCTTCGGAAATGAAATGCTGGTTGATGTATCGAAACCAGATGAAGTTTCACAAAAACAAAACAATATCAATGAAAAAAAATTAACCTCCCGGGCGCAGGCTTATTTTCCTTCTCAAAATTATAAACAGACCAACAACCCAAAATTGAACCAAGGTTGTATTAAAAACCCATTTTCAGAGGTTTCGTCATTGTCGATTGTTTGAAGGCACCTCGCTTTTCTGAGGCAATTAAGACTCCCCAACGCGCAGAAACAAAATGAGCAGAGCAATTACGCCATCACGAAGACACGGCAAAATTAAAGGTGCTTTCAGCTGGAACCCTGACTGTTCCACTCTTTCAATATTTATAACGATGAACCACCCACTGTGGCGTGGGATGTGCAGTGTGCCATGCCGATGTGTGTGAATGTGTGTGAGAGAGAGAGAGAGAGAGAGAGAGAGAGAGAGAGAGAGAGAGAGAGAGAGAGAGAGAGAGAGAGAGAGAGAGAGAGAGAGAGCGAGTCAAGTAAGCGGAAGCCTCCACTTTGCCCACGCGGTTCTCGGCGAGGCAGGTGAAGGTCCCCTGATCGCTCACGGCGGCTTTCTTTATCCTCAACAAAAGATCCTCTTTTTCATATCTGATGTCATACCTGGCGACAGAGGGGTGACTAACACTGTGAAGCCTCAATTTAAAATTACATTTAAAATGAAATCTCCTATAAGCAGTGTGACTACTGCACATAGTTTTAAATGTCTTCAAAATGTGGACAATTGAAAAACACAACATTATAAATTGTGAGAAACGTACGATCGTAAAAGTCAAGTCAATCAGTAAAGATTTGACATCTTTTTTTCTCCTGCAAAGAGAAAAAAAATTCATCCACCCCATGAGTGGTGGATGAATTTTACCGAACTCATCATCCCATCATCGCTGGATGAATAATTTCCGTCCTAACCTTCGGAAATGAAATGCTGGTTGACGTATCGAAACCAGATGAAGTTTCACAAAAACAAAACCATATCAATGAAAAAAAATTAACCTCCTGGGCGGAGGCTTATTTTCCTTCTCAAAATTATAAACAGACCAACAACCTAAAATTGAACCAAGGTTGTATTAAAAACCCATTTTCAAAGGTTTTGTCATTGTCGATTGTTTGAAGGCACCTCGCTTTTCTGAGGCAATTAAGACTCCCCAACGCGCAGAAACAAAATGAGCAGAGCAATTACGCCATCACGAAGACACGGCAAAATTAAAGGTGCTTTCAGCTGGAACCCTGACTGTTCCACTCTTTCAATATTTATAATGATGAACCACCCACTGTGGCGTGGGATGTGCAGTGTGCCATGCCGATGTGTGTGAATGTGTGTGAGAGAGAGAGAGAGAGAGAGAGAGAGAGAGAGAGAGAGAGAGAGAGAGAGAGAGAGAGAGAGAGAGAGAGAGAGAGAGAGAAAAAGCCATAAGGGCACAGAGCTTGACTCAGACGGACAAACTGTCTGAGAGAAAAGGAGTGGCACACTCTGACAAACTGAATTCGACGAATGAGCAGACGAGTAAGAAATGACTAATTCATAGTGTTGATGCATCAATGTGCAGCCACCAGTGCAGAATTCTAGACTATAAGGGCACAATTGCTTCAGTGAGAACAAGAGGGAGATCTCAGCAGCGTCAGATAAGAGGGGGCTCAACTCTGAATGAGTGGAGGGGCAAAGGAGTCAGCTCCACCTCTCTCTGGGGTCTCTTTGGCATGAGAGATCTTGTGAAATTGTGCAGCCAGCCATGCTGATTTCCACACAGAAGACAAGTCAGGCAGAGAAATGGCACAAGGGGTGAGAAAAGTCATATTTGAAAGAGCGTGCGGGGTGGGGTGGGCGTGGAAAATATCGATGGAAGGGACCGTAGGGTCGTTCCAAAGTTGGGTGAGGACTCCATTCACAGAACATCCCTGACCCAGATACACACTTCCCATGGGGATGACGGGTTCGGGAAAAAAATAAAACAAGCGGAAGGAAGGATGAGAAACAGGACTTTCATCAAAGGGCGGGGACATCACCAAACATGATATTGGCCATTTTGCACTCAGTCTCCATTTTTGCACGCATTAGCTTCATTAACACATTCCCAGTCATATCGTTTGCTTGAATGTTTCAAAAATCTGTCACCATTTTGTCCATTTCTGTCTTCTCAATCAAATTCAATACCGACATGAAGCTCCGTTATTTTGACCAGCTTTTCGCTGGCTAAACTGTGCAGTTAATGTAGCTTACGTATCTAGGTGAGTGTTATCGTGACGGGTGAAGTTTGATGTCATAATCAAATTGCAGTGTAGCAGAGGAATACAAACAGGCCAAAGTAATAAAATCAAAATTGATCGCAAAATTGTTGTTTTTTCATGTCTTGGAAAGTGTCTGCTAAACCTGCGTTCATTATAAGATGTACGTTCATTTTCCATTTCTGGAGTGCAAAGTGCTCAGCGGTTGCTAATAATTCAATTTTCTTTTCACGCGGATAGTGTGCTTGAACAATGAAATGTTGCACACCTGTACAAACGTCTTCAAAACTTTGAACAGTCAAGTTCTGGCTGTCTGTATTGATGGGAGAATGTTGACTTCATATAGACGCTATTCCTTGCGGGTCGTGTATTGGATTATTTTATATGAAACAACACAGAAGGCCCCTATAACGTCGGGGCTATCGCTGCGCCAAAATGACTCTCATGTGCAACATAAAAAGAAACAGTGGCGCTTGGAGAGTTTGAAGTAATCAAAGGAGGGGTGGGGAGGGGGTACTTTGTTCTGCTATGAGCGCAGACGCTCACACAGCAAATAATGAGATTCTCCGTGGCTAATAAATGATTTCTGCCACACTGATGAAAGTCCAAGAGTAACATGTCCAATTGCTTCTTTGCTTCTTGAGGGACTCATTAGATTCGCTTCGGCAACTCCACGTCATCGCTTTTACCGCATTAATGTGCACACAAGCCTTCATTAAGCGAGTGCAACACACACTCACACGTTTCCCTCACCTGCCACGGGGAATATCCGCATCCTCCTTTTTCCAACGCAGAGTTGGAGGCGGGTCACCGTGGACCTGACACCTGAACTCCACACTCTCATCCACTAAGACCACCTGGTTCACTGGCCGCTGCACAAACACCGGTCTCTCTGGAAGTGAGGAAGAGCGCACGTATATAACGGAACCAAAATGTACTCGTAAGACGCGGATAAATACTGTCTGTGACGGTGAGCTGGAAATACCTGAGAAAGTCACCCTTTATTGCTTTTTGAACCTTTATATCCCCGAGTTCTTACCAAACACGGAGAGTTGAGCCTTTTCGCTCTCCCTCTCGCCGACCATGTTGGTAGCTACGCACACATAAATCCCGACATCAGTCTTTTGTGTGTTGGAGATGGTCAGTTTTCCTCCACGAATCTGAAAAGAAAGCATAAAAATGGTAGAATTTCTTGCAATAAAATGAACTGGGTTTTTTTTTCTATTTTCTTTGTCAAAAAAAAAAAAAGAAAGCTGAGAACCTTGGCATATTGTAGTGTGGTGCACATATGCAGATAGAACACACAAAGAGTACATTAGTGAAAAGATCAGAAGAAGAAAGTCACCATTTCTATTAACATTTTTCACGGCGCAGGCAGCATATATATGCCTGTGAGTACTGTTAAACAATCTGTCCGTGTGTGTTTCGATGGTCTATGTGTGTGAATATTCATGATTTGAAGGTACGTCGCTCCCAGAGCGCAATGCTAATTTTTGTTAGCCCATCAATAGGGTGCTACATTGTGTTAGCATGCTGTATTTGAATGTGCTACTGAGCCTCGACAGAGCTCTGTATAACTGATTATATGATTTACAGAAAAAAAAAAGTTTCAAAGAGTAACTCACTGTGATCCTTTCATCTTTAAGATCAAGACGACCCTTGTCTTTCTTCCAGTAGGTGGTGGGCTCAGGATGCCCACGTGGCGGCTGACACTCCAGCGTGGCCGTCTCTCCAACGGCCACGATCACATCCTGCGGGTTCTGTCTGAAGTCATCTCGTAACACTGAGATACAAAAGAGGACATCAAGTATCACCGATATGTGAAGGTGTGTCATAATTTGAATTAGCAAATGGTGGTATGCATAATTCTTGAGCAGTCTGGACGTGAATGGGTGAACTTCTTCTACTGAGGGAGTCTCAGTGGCAGTGTCCAATTTAAATCAGCAATTTTTGTTTTTCTCTCATTTTTTTTTCCTTTCTTTGCTAGTTGCTTCATGGGTCAGATCAAGAAAGGCACTAACTTGACCCACTCCCCATTGAGTCCTTTCAATCAGAGTGTCACAAGTGGATATCAAGTATGCTGTAATTATTTCACTTTGGTGTGGTTTTGACAAAAACATATCAGTGGCCTTTCAGGAAGAAAGCAGCTGGGGACATTTTTAAATTTGGGGGGCGGATACATTTTCATCATGTCGTGTTTCAATAAATTTCCCATCTAATGATATTTGATCATTGTGCCCATTGACTCATTACGACATTTCGCCCGATCACAACACAGTCGCAGCGTCTGTCCATTTTGTCACATTTGACATGATCTCCTTGCTCATTACCAATAAGACAAACACATAAAACTATGACCATTCATAACTGTTTTCACTTGCTTTGAGGTTGAGTTCCTACTTCGCGTTATTCTACTTTCTAGGTCGGGGCTGTAGGCCAAATAAAATGTGTTCCCCCTATAGCTGTAACTGTAGGCACGGGAGATGTATAGCCTGGCAGGATTATCACTGCAACGTAGAAAGAAGAGATACCTAAAGTGCAAGAAGAATGCAAAAAGAGCGAGGCGAATGGGAGTTGAGAGTAGCGAGTGGGGAAATTGACCATTAATAATTCAAACACTGCATCTCTACAGCCCTGCGAGCAGTGTCCTACCAGAGATAAATGGCACCACATCCCCCAAACTATCTATCTATCTATCTATCTATCTATCTATCTATCTATCTATCTATCTATCTATCTATCTATCTATCTATCTATCACATCATTTTGTTTATCTTGGTTGTGATGTAACGAGTGAAGTGAAGGGATTTATTGGTAAACTTGGCACACATGCAGTAGATGTATCAGATCACACTCTCTTCGAGAATATTCTTAAAGACACATGTGGCGTCAGTATTTGAATATAAGGACCAGATCTTGATGAACATTAACAGCAAAAATAGTATTTTTTCTCAGGCGTGACATATTGAGTTCACCAGAATTCTATTTATGAGCTTTTTCAATTGTATGGGTCCGTACTACAAACAGTCCAGGGATGTCTGCACTTTATTTAGTGCACTCAAAGAAATCTGGTCTTTAAGAATTGTCAACTTAACAGCCATACTGGCGCGTTTAGAGAAAACTCGCCGTGTGGGCTGCTCACTTCCAGCGTGAGATCTTCCCAATTCTGTCAAAGCTGTTCTCCCAAATATAATTTGCAAAGCTCTTACTTTGTCAGATGCTTGTAAGAAGCACTGGAATCATTGTTGAAAAGAAAGAGAGAGAGAGAGAGAGAGAGAGAGAGAGAGAGAGAGAGAGAGAGAAAGAGAGAGAGAGAGAGAGAGAGATCATTTATCTCTGGCAACAAAGTATTTCGACTTACCGGTAGTTTATAGCTTCTGACACGTTTTCAATTTTGGTCAAGCAGAGCTTTGGTTTTCCATTGTTTTGTTTCGGGAATCACAATATGAAAATGACAATGAACATCCAAATTATAAGATGCTAATGTAACACTGAATGTGATAAATGAAACACATAAGATAAGATATCCTTTATTTGTCCCACACTGGGGAAATTTACATCAAACTGCAATTTCTGATCAATGTGTATAGGTTCAAATCTAGCTTATCCCTTTGTGCGCAATACTTTCGGTTGTCAATTTATCAACTGTCCTCAACTGTCAAGTTCACCGGTGATGAAAGTTGCAGAATTACGTTAAACAGTTAGCATCACCGATTAGAAATACATCCTAAATAAACAGAATCTCTTTTGTTATCTCAGACATGATTTCCATTACTGCCTTCGACTATTCTGCTGATCCATTGCAGCCCAAAGTCAAAGTAGGAGAGGCGAAACACAAGGCGAATACCAAAAATCAGCAAGGAGCCAAAGTCCCGTCAGCCAAACTCTCGACGACATCCCAGTTGTGCTCAAGAAAATGTACCTCGGTGGTCAACTGCACTTTGACATAGACACACGCCCTGCTGTATTCTTCTGGCCGAGGGACCCATTCCATAAGGCACACTCCACTCATCCGACTACTTTGCTCCAGAAAATAAGAATCGTAAACAGCAGTGCATGTCTCAACTCCAGGAAACAAAGACAAAGACACATACAAAACAGAGAAAAATGAAGACACGAGGACTAATGTTTCTGTGAACGGATATTTTTTTTTTTTTTAATGATCATCGCTTTGCTTTTTCAAAATGCAATTTACCTAATCACAATGGAAGGCATCCGGGCAGTAATATGCACCATTTACTAGTATCATGTTATTTATAGTTTAGAATGTTAGCTGAGCTAAAATGTATGAGATAGTTGTGGTCAAAGGTCCTATTTTTGTCAGCGCTTGACCACTTAAACAGATAGATTACCCTCACTTTGCGGCGATTACACACTTTCAACTTCCTCATATTTTGATTGATGATGTACATGCGTATTTCATGTTTTAATAAACGAGAAGTGAGTGACTGACATAATAGAATTTCTTGGTCATCAGTTATGGCAAATTAAAAAGTGTGTGCGGTGGGGGACATTGGAGCAGTCGCAGTTTGTGCTTCACGGCAGTGCGATTGTGGTCATGTGCCCGCCATGTCTTGTTGTTTGAACACAGTTCAGCAATAGCCAAAGGAGTTTGTCACAAAATACATATTGTTAATTAACATAATTTCAGTTTAAAAATCATTGTCTTTGTAAAATATTAAAACAAAAATGAAAGTGCTTCCCGGAATTTGAAGCAACCTTTTATGAGGAATCAATGTCATATTTTCAATAATTTGATATAACTGTTCAATATCTTGTGTCGGGCCACTTTCTTATCTGAACATGAATGGCATTCGCAAAAAAAAAAAAAAAAACATCAACGCTCACTGGCCACAAAAAGAGGGGCGCCGTTAGAATGCAATAAAATATAGAATGCAAGGCAATAATGTGCAAAGATACATTTATTTCGTATTTCATGTTTTTGTGTACGTTTTGTGTGGCGATTGCTTGTTATTTGCTATGGTGAAAGAATGCAAGTGTGTACAGTAGCGGATCATGCTGTGAGCAGTTTTCCATTTATTTGGCGACATGAGGAGAAAAAAATATGAGAGCGGGGTGCTTAATGAGGTGCTTGGTGTGTGTACAAACAAAGGCACAGGAGCCATGAGGTGGGGGGTTGTGTTCCAATCTATCGAGCCCCACTAGAGGAATCACCGATGTGTAGGTTGCTGCCGGGTGGTAATTTCAGACTGTGGGGAGCACACACTCATTGTTGTCTGATTGTCTCGTGGTCAATTATTCAAGAGAACAGCTTCAGTCATTCACCTGTTCATTAACTAAATTGGCATGCAAAAACATGACAAAATGTGTCACCGGGCATATACAGTTTACTATAGAGGGGCCTTGGGTTATTCCTCCATATTGTATCCTGAATTATGACAATTGTCATTCGCTCACAAAGACATATTTCTTTTCATACTTCTCACATTAAATCCCTGGTAGGTGTTTATATATTTTTTTTTCAAGGGTCTGAAAATGGCTGGCACTGAATGAGTTAAAGTTCCATATGGCCTCAACTTTATATGTTGACGCAAGCTTGAAAGCTCTTCATAATGAATCATATACAGTAAGTAGACGCTGCTTTAAAAACAGGTCGACAATCTACCCAGACAGTGCATTTACCAGACTGCATTTGTTACCCTCGCTGGTACAATTAATGCCAGGTGTATCCATTAGCTAGTTTGCATGTATTGACAGCCCCACTTTAAGCATCAGTCAAACTTGTTGTGCATTTTTACATCATAATGTCTCTTTCAAAAGAAAAAAAAAAAAAAAAAAACAACGCCATAATGTGAGGCTTTTAGATGAAAATGTCCGCGTAAATGATGGTCCAAAAAGCATTATAAAAAAATTGCAGCGTCGACTGAAATGCATTTGAAGTTTACATTGAGCGTCTCTTTAAGAATGGAAAAAAGGTAGCAACCAAAATGAAGATAATACTCTTAAAATGTTGCTGTCACTTTAAAAGAGTTTACGTTTTTTTTGTCTCATTTATTGAAGCCTCTCCATTTTGTCAAAAAAATAACATTGGAAATAGTTTGTGTTGTTGTTTGTTTGCATCAGGTTCAGATAAAAATACAAAAGAAAGTTCAGAATCTAATTTTAAAACAAATTAAATCTGCATAGCATGAAAGAAAAATAATTCAATCAATCAATTCTACTGTTGACCTCTGCCGAGGTGGTTTTGTAATTTTATTTATTTTTTTGGCATGCAGTTTCCTGTCTACCGCTCTGGGTGAATGTTCTTCCGTCCTTTGTCTGCACTGTCTTGATGCCCTTGCTTTGCTTTTGTGTCCGTGTCTATTCAATTGCACAACTGTGAATCATGTGGCGTAAACAGCACATTTTGTTTTGTGTGCCATTTATTTTTCAGCTACATGTACCCTTAAACAGAAGGAAATTCTCATTTCATTATTTTATTTATTTATTTGGTGGGAGGGGTGAAATTAAATAATTAACAGGACATTGTGACTTCCTTGTACAAAATGCTAAACAGCCATGTGTGGAAAAAAACAGATGGGTGAGACTTGCACAACCCAATTAATTTATAAAAAAACATGCTGGATTTTCAGACCCAAGCACACTCACGTGTGACCGACTGACTGTGTGTGTGTGTCTGTTCGTAAATGTGCATGAAGGTAGGTGGGTGGTCCAGTACTGGAATTCTGCTTCAGCCCCCCCAGCCCGACCCAACTGTGTTATGCTGTATGGCAGCACGGCAAAGGCAGAAAGAAACAGAATAATGTATGAGCGGAGAGGAAA